CGATCAAAGGTGAGTTTTTTTTTCAAATTTAAACTTAAGACACCAATACCTTTTGCTAAATTTGTCAAAATCAGCTAGTTTAAAATCCGAGTTTGTCTGAAGAAAAAATTAACCACAAACCTTTTTTTTACGAGACGTGGCACATAAACACTAAAATTAATTTAAGAACGTCAAAAAAAACTTAAGGGAGAGCGAAACTACCAAAGTTGTTGACTTGCTTGCAGAAAAAAAAAATTGTAAAGCTGGTTGATCCAGGAAACTATTTTTGATTTAAAAAAACGATAGATCCCAAAGTTTTCTTGAAATGAGGATTGTCTGAACAAAAAATCTTGTAGTTTTTGCATTCCTTGCAAGGAGATTGCACACACCCGTTTGTGACAAGACTGAACCATTCCGCTCCCCCAAATTCAATTTTCATTAAAAACTTTTCTTGCAGTTTCATAATGCAGATAACTAATTAAATTGCCGACAGAACAGTTTTTTACACTCGGTTTTGTAAAATCACTAATTTAGCCATAGCAACTCATGAAAGTTTATAAAGTTTTAAAAAAATGAAATGTGGAGGGAAATTGAAAAGAGCCTCAGATTGAAACAACTAACTATGTCTGATTTTGATTCTTAGACAAAAAACTAATTTGCTCACTTCTAAGCATATAGGACGATGAAGTCGCGTGTCGACCTTCATGCACTACAGAAGCTTATCATTCAACGATACATAAATTTTACAAAAAAAAAGTTCCAAAAAAATCGAAAAAAAAGTCTATGCAAAAATTTGTGCATTTTATTTATAACTTGTCTGGTCTGATCTTTTCACCAAATAAACAAAATTACTTTGCATATCTGCTGTGCAACCATATTTACTAATTTTATATAATTTAAGATTTTTTTAATGAGTAAAACAAGCCACAATTCTTAAGCGCGAGTTTTTACTTATAGATCTGTTTTCAAAAAAGTATATCAATAGTTTAGATAGTGAACAAATCTCTTAATGCAAGTTATCTTAATACGAGACTATTGCCACTTAAAAAGTGGAAGATTAAAATGATAATACAAACAAAAACATAAAGCGAAGAAAAAAAATGACTTATTTCGAAATAAAATGTTAGTCATAGAAAACTCATACATTTTTTGTCCATATGGAACTAAAGGAAAACAAGGACACGTAGTTTCCCTTTATGGAAACTGTTTGGCTTCAAGTTTTCAATTTTCTGGATCTTTGACCAATTTTTTTGTTTCAAAGAGAAGAAACAAAAATAATTGAACAGCTTATCTATGTCTGTGTTACAACCACTTTCAAATCAAATGCTGTAACTTTTTTATTGAAAATTGTTTATCAAATTAGCTAGCCATTTTGACCTGGTTGTTTACATTGTCTGAAAACTAGAGATCTTGTTCCCTAATCACCCAACAACCTATAAAGCCTATTAGCAACTTTCTACCACTTAACTTTAACAGAAATGATTAAATGGTTCTCTAATCATATTAAAGATGTTGAGAAAAAGACGTGTGAAAAATGCTAAAATGTCATATTTGGGTTATTTAATGCACCAAAGATCGTCACAATGAACCGCAAGCCATGATTTTATGCTTTTCAAAATGATCGAGATAACGATCCTTTATTTTTAATACGATATCGCGACAATCAATAGTAAATGGCAACTCGTGTCAAAGACCATTTGCGAAAATTAAGAATACCAACAGCTGAAAGAGCTTGAAAATTTTTTTGAAAAGAAATTTAAGATGTTTCTGCACTATAGTCTACTGCTGCAAGTCTTGCACTCAACTCAGTAAATATATAGGGTGGGTTTTTTTCTTCAGACAAATTTCGACTTTTTAACTTACCGTTTTTGACGGATTTTTTAAAAATCATTCGAAAAATATTGTTGTCTTGAGCTCAACTTTGAGAAAATACTTCACCTGTGGTCATTTTTTGTAAAGTTATGGGGGTTTAAACATAGCCTTTTCGGCCAATTTGGGACTATTAACGCGTAAGCGGAGATTTAATCCGTCTTAGAAATCATTCCAAATTGGATGAAAGAAGCTTAAATACCATAATTGATGTGTTACAAGGAGCAAAATTTATCAATTTGTACTTTATATGGCTGTGGTGTGATGATTTTCACGAAAAATCTGAAATTTTTTTTCTATATTATATTTTTTTTTATTACATTTAAATTATTCATGCTATTACTCCTCCATAGACCTTGCATTTGGAACAGGCTTCGCCCTAATTCGAGCAGGCTTGTTTACAATTCGAGCAAATATTTACAAAATCATAGAAATTTCAGGTATGCGCAGGACTGATTTTTGTATGTTCAGAACTTCTGGGAACCTATTGTCTGTCGAATACGCGAGCCAGCCTGATTTTGCTTGGAAAGATTGGTACGTTTTTTTGGAAAATTTTTAATCATCTTTTGAACAATTTTTAGCATCTTCAATCGACAGGCTAGTCTGGCTTTCTCATGTACTAGCTCCCAATGTATGATACAACTTTTGATCTCGTGATTTGGCGAACAATTACAATTTTTGCTTGGCTAAGCGACGTCTAGACACATAAGCGCACGCGATTCAAGTTAGTAAGATGTTCTTTTTTGTCTTTTTTTAGCAAACGGTTAAATGTGAGCTGAATTCTCACAGGACATCTTGGGAAGCAAATCCATTTTTTCTAACCCATAGGCACTGGAGTGTTAAGTGAAAATGAATCGATTATGATGGATCAGCCAGCCAAAAGTAGTTCCAATATAATGGATTGTAGTTGAGTTTTACAGCTGATGATCCATTATAATCCATTTTTCTTCAAAAAATAAGTTACTGCATATGTCAAAACATAATTTTTAATGGTTTTTTATGACACATACGTACCTCTCCCCGCCCCTACATCCAAACACCCTCCCCGCCACAAATTCCCATATACCTGCATTATCTTTTTAAAATAAACGAATATTTCAAAGTTAACTCTCAGCAGAAGAAGTTAAAGATTTTGTAAATTTTTTTTGTACAATTGCCTTCAGACGCACTTATGGTTTTCAGTTTACTATTGCACAGATTTGACAAATTAAATAGCCTTAGATCAATTTTTGAGACCCTGCGCAGGAAAAAAAAATTTTGAGATCCAGAGCAAGAATAGCCTCGGAAACTTTGGAAACGTCGGAAACTGACAACATCCGAAAGGTTTAATGACCCCATAATAACTTTGTAAACTCATTCGCAAAATTTTTATATACATTATGATGCTACAAAACGTATTGTCAAATTTGTAAGGAAAAAAACGTGGCTTTGGTCTGCAATTGACTGTCTTCAAAAATTTTCCAGCGTTTAAAATCAAATAGAAAAGTTGGTGTCGCTATAAATGGATTTTTCTGGATGCAAAATTTTACAGATACGATTTTGAAAAGTTCCTACTGCAAAAAATTTAGGTGCGATTAGTTTTTGAGCGACTTGAGTGTCTCATAAAAAATGGTTGAATCTGAAATTAATTCAAATTGCACTAACTACTTAATCAGATAATTTTTTCATGACAACGTATTGTTTCATTTAGTTTGCTCCATAAAATAAATTTTATCACTTTTTGGACAGTTTTGATTTAAAAAAAAATTATTCCGGCGCCTATTTTTTCCACACAGTTAGTCTTTATTGGCGTGTCAGGGGGTCGAATCCTTGAGGTCGGGGTCAACTTTTTGAAAGTTGATACTACTTACCAGACAATTTAAGTACAAAACTAGCAAAGAAAAAAGGATTTTAGCCTTTTTCCTCGACATTTTTTTAGGACAAAATTAAATATTTATAATTATAAAAAACAGCGGGAATTGGTTTTTCAGTTTTTTTTCTGGCCTTTTTGTTCAAATGTTAACTTGGTTTTCAGCTCATATTTTGAGCCAATCAGAGGAGATTAGTTTACACTGAGCTTAACAAATTTAAGTTAAATTGAACCCTGACAGGAGGTTCCTAACTTGATCTACTTGGGGGAGGATAATAATTTGATGCCTAGTTTATATAACATAAAAGCGAAAATTGAACAAAATAGAAGGGGTTCTCTACAATAATTTTACTTCAAGATACAGAAAAAGATTTTTAGCCAAACCATTGTACTTTAGTTCATCTTTAAGTTGTAAGAAACCGAGCATTCATTTTAAATGCAAGGTCAAGTGTGACCAAATCATGGACAAACTGTTCTCGTAACATTTTGTGACCAAAACCAGCTCCCTTCTCCCAAGTGAAAATGAAGAAAAAAACGCAAACTGATACGTATGCCAACCTTCTCGAAAGAAACTTCGATCAGGTATGCTGATATGGACTCGCGCGTAATAAGTGCGTCTTTTCAATGCATACTTTTATAATCTGTAAACCTTTGGTTGAAGTCACATTGAAAACTAACATCGGGTAGATTCGTTTCAGCTTTTAGAAGCTCAATAATCCACATCGAAGCCACATTGAAAACTAACCTCGGGTAGATTCGCTTCAGCTTTAGAAGCTCAGAAATCTACATCAATATTTCAAATATCGCGCTAAATGCTACTATGTAAAATTGCTATATATACTCTAAAACGCATGTTTTATAACTCTTGCTTATATAACACTGAAAATCTATTTGGTTCTTGGTTTTGATTTTAAATTAGTAACCACGGTGCTTCTTCTCCATTGCTTGTCTTTCCTCCTCTTCGATGTAGAACCACCCCTCCCCTCTCTTCAGCGCATTCTTCACCTTTTCCATTTGACTGACTAGGCTGTCAATTCTCATATTTATTTTGTCCAAAGCCAAATCCTCTATTTTATTCTCGTGTATTGTCTTTCTAAAAAAGATTTAAAGAAGAAAAAGAGTTTAAGTTAAGCATTCTGAATTTATTCGATATGTTTTTTTCTCAATTTTCTCTGAAACTACAGTACTGATTGAGATAATAGGGTTAAAATGAAGAAAATCCCCAAACTTAGAGTATATTTTTCTCGAATTAGATCGAATTTAAGTAAATTAAACTATTGGAAAAAAAAATTTTGCTTACAGGTTTTCCAGAATTATCCAGGTTCAATTTTTGGCAAATTTTGCAGATGTTTCAGATGTTTGCCGTTGAGAAAAACTAACACTTTAATTATTGTCCGAAATTCGTTTTGTATCTCTTGTTGACCTTGTCCGTAGGATAGGCTTAGTTGTAAATTCATCTTGGCCAAATCCCCCTCCAACCTGGTAAACATCAAGAAATTCACCAACATGTCCTAACAAGATACTCAAAAAAGCTTTGTTAATATAAATGATCATGTGATGGTTGCAAAATTAAAAACGAAACCGATGACCTTAAGCAACCTAACTGATTGTGAGACTGTTTTGCTACATCGTCGAGTACGACGTCTGTTTGTCTCGCTTTATATTTTCGACCGGATATGTTCCTGCAAATTCTTAGTCCAATATTGATCTTAATCTTACTATTTTTTGTCTTTTAGAAAAAAACGGACAACAATAGAGTTAGGTATTCTCAAAGTGGTGTTTGACTATCAAATTGACTGTCATTTTTACAATAAATTTTTACAGGTTTATTTATGAAAAATGGTTCTTGGGTAGTTAGTACTTTAATATCATTTTTAGTGGTATCAAAAATTAAGATGCGAGAAGCCACAATATAAATGAGATTCCGAACGGGTCACTCCGGTCCAGGGCTTACTGAAACTTGAAAAAACTCTTTTTTGTTTTAACTTTATTAAAATCGATATGAAAGTTTGGTAGAAAACATTTTTGCCAAACTTATACAGCTTTAGCTAAGGTTAGAAAAAATGCTATGATTATTTTTTTTTGCAAAAACAGCTTTATAGTGCGCTACTTTAAACTAGTAGGGCACACTGGAACCACTCCAAGTATAAACAATGCGGGTTGTCTTATGGGTTCACCCAGTCATTAGGGTAAGCGGTTGGGGGTGAGGTGATTTAAGTAAATTGCCTTGCAAAATTTATTTCAGTTTAAAAGTAAAGGTCATGCAAATTTGTTTGAAGTTAAATAAACGGTCAGCCTAGTTTCTTGATTTGGAGAAGAAACCGTTTGTAAATCAGTTTCTGATTCTTCGTGATTCATGAACAAGACTACTCGTATATCGGGGCAAAGTCCTGAATGTTCCGACTGTCCCTTAACTCAAATGGAATAATTTTTGGGAAAAAATAGTGAAAAACTATAAACTTTGGCCATAATCAAAGTGTAAAATTTTGAGTTGTACGAAATTAATACGACAAATTAGCTAGCCTCAATTCGGTTTGGAAAGATTATGTTGTGCGGTATAATTAACCATGCATAAATAATTTGCGTATTTTCTCAGCATGATTGAACAATTCAAAGCGCGCATAATTGAATCCAGAACATGGCCAAAATGGCAATTTTCAACCCCCCAGAACTTTACAAAAAATATCGGAGGTAAATATCTTTATAAATTTCAACTCATAAATTCAATATACTTGATGGGATTGACAAAACTTTTGTTGAAAACTATTATTTTGATCGGCGAAAATTAACTAGATAAAACAAACACACCGAGCTTAATTATTCCGTTTCCTTCGAAAGTCCGAACAACAAGTTTTCGTAGTAGTTGGATATCCTTAAGTTTAGTTAATTGAGGCCATATATGTTGACTTGGTTATTGAGTCCATCTTGTGCGGAGGTTGACTTGACTTTTCATTCCTTTATATGGAGCGAGGCTCTTTTTCCTTTTTTCCCTACCTGCAAACGTTTACAATTAAACTTTTGTTCACACTGTCCGATTGTTACAGATATTGGTAAGTGGACAAAATAAGCGATCAGACACATATTTGGTGTTCATACTTTACCCCTCGTTACTCCCTGAAATTTAATCTTATTTGAGGTGGGGAAAGGAAAAAAAATTAAGTTTAGGCTTTTAAAATAAGTGAAAACTCTTTTAGTGGCTCACAGGTGATTATTGTGGGTTTAATTGTTCTAATTGTGGAAAGTCAAGTGAATAATTTAAATTACTGAGCAAATTTCATTGTAAAACAAGGTATAATCGATGTTCGTTTGCAACTTATTCATTTATTCTCGAAAATGTATTTTGAGCATTTTGAGAAACAAGGAAGGTGATATAAAAAAGAATGCGTTTATAGAGCGTGGCCGACTAAATTGTGCGTGTTTTTATAATAATAATGACGTGTGCTTGTGATCATTTTGACCTGTGAGATTTGACTGGTGCTAAAACCAGTTAAAGCTTTGTAAATAAAATTGCGAGTTGTACTTGTTGCTCCGAATTTTGTAACGAAAGTTACGATATATTTTTGTGCTGGGGGTCGTTTATTTTTCTTCAGAAGAATTTCGACTTTCTAACTAGCCATTTTTGTTGAACTTTTTAATATCATTCAAAAATAATTGTTGCCCTGAGCTCAAACTTGATAAAAACATATTTCACCTGTGATCTTTTTTCGTAAAGTTATGGGGATTTAAAGATTGCCGTTTTGGCCAATTTGGGACAATTAACGCGCGATATATCTCAGGCATTTAACGTGTAGGCGGAGTTTTAACCCGCCTTAAAAATCGTTCCAAATTGGTTGAAGGAAGCTTATTTGCCATAATTGATTTATTACTAGGAGCGAAATCTATCACTTTGTACTTATTATGACGTGTGGGGGAATGATTTTCACAAACACCTCAAAATCCTATAAAAAATTCCATTTGATTTTATTACATTTATTTTTTTTCATGTTTTTACTGCTCCATAGACTTTAAGAGGCAGTTGGCACATTCAAGGCTTCGCCTTGATAAGAGCAGTCTTGTTGTTATAGTGCTCTAAGGCTCATTTACTTCATTGTTAATGTTATCGTGTGTGTCACAAAATTTTGGGTCGTTGATCGGTTTGATCTCGTTGTTATTGATAAATGAAGTGGTCTGTTGATCCTGTTTGTGTCAAAATTAGAAATTTTCATAAAAAACTTAGCTTTTTGTTTAAATTTGGTGAGGGTCTCTGGGTAAATTTCACTGCTAATGAATTTGACGAATGAAGGAACTTCTCGAGTTAAATGAATTGGAGATATTATAAATTAATTAGCCTTCTTAGAAATGTAATGTATTCAGAGTTGTGGTCAGAAGTTATTAATATAAGCTGTCTTGGCGAGGAGCGAAGAATGGTATCGAAGAAGGCGAGGAGGTGGAGCTTAAAGAAGCCGAGAGGTAACGAGCATTTCGTCGCACGGCTCGTGGTTTCAGAGGGTTTTGGTTTTCCGGAACGAGGTTGTTCTACTATTTAATCTTGCTCGTTTATTTATTTTTTCCAGTTTAAATGTTGCACACTGGTGGCATCAGATGAAAAAGCACTGGTTTGGTATCTTCGGTGTAGTTTCAGATAGAGTACACCATCTGTTTCTCGAAAAAATTTGTGCGATTTCTTAATCCAATACTGATTATGAGCGGTTTTTTTTCTGTTGAATCATTTTTTCGTTTTGCAAATATGCTTTTTCTGCCAAACAAAGTAAAAAAAGACTAATGTTGTTCAATAGCCGAAAAGTCGAGCAAATTTTATATGTGCAATAATTTTTTCTCAACTCAAATCAAAAGAAAACACGTCCCCCCCCCCCCCCCACAACTCTGGTTGCAAAATTTTTCCAAATTTCTTTGGTATAACTTAACGACATTCATTTTTGGCTGACCCACTTCCGAATTTTGAAGTGGGTCAGCCAAAATTAAAATCCTTTAATGCAAATATACAAAGATTGAAACCAGCGTCAAGCTGCTCGACTTATGTTTTGACTTTGAAAGTCGACCAAGTGCAGTTTTGCGACTGAAATTCCGAGGTCGAGAAGCACTTTTAAGTCGAGCACAAAGTCGAAACATACTCAATTTTGTCGAGAAAGTCGAAACACAGGGCAATCACAGTCAAACAATAGGTCGAGCATGGTCGAAACATACGTCGAGCACAGTCCAAACATGCCTGATTGCGGTCGCGAAAAGTCAAAACCTAGGTCGAGCACAGTCGAAACTTAGGTCAACCACAGTCAAAAAAATAAATCAAACACAGTCGATGCATACACCCGAGATGAGGTGTTCGACTCATGATTTAACAAAAACGGAAAAGTTTCATTTTTTCCTCGAAATGCCCGAGTTCGGTCGCGCCGGTTGTGTCGTTTCGCGATTCGAGCTAGTCCTACGGTTTCCAGACTGGCTGCAAAAGTCGTGACTGAATTTTTCGGTCGTAAAATTCTGGACATCACAAATATGGGTCGCGAAATTTTGGTCGCGCCATCCCCGTTCCGGTCGCGATATTCGCCATTGATAATGTTTCTCTCATAAGTCTGAAAATGCCAAGACTCAGTTGCGAAATCTACACATGCCTAAACTGAATCGCGAAGCTATGGGCATGCCAAAAATTTGACGCGGAAGTCTGAATTCTCAGACTCATATCCAGACTTCCGCGACAAATTTTTGTTGTTTCCACACCCGGGTAAAAATAAACAACCACAATTAAAATCGAAAAATTTTGAACTAAGTCGATCGTTTTGTCGAGTTTGTTTTTTGAACAAACTCAAAAAAATTTAAAAAGGTCTGGTAAAATCGAACCAACTAAAAAAAAACGAAGTCAAAAAATGTCAGTTAAAGTCGAGCAAAATTTAACAAAGTCGAACAAGGCCGAACAATGTCCCGTGAAGTCGAACAAAGTCGAGCGAAGTCGAACAAGCTCCGGTAAATTTGAACAAAACCGAGAAGGGACAATAAATTCAAGCTCAGTCGAAACATAGGTCGAGCACAGTCAAAGTATAGGTCGAGCACAGTCGAAATATAGGTCGAGCGTAGTCGAAACATAGTTCGAACACAGTCAAAGCATAGCTCGAGCACAGTTGAAACATAGGTCAAGCATCAATCTGAGATGGATCGATTAATAGTTGAAAACTGTTTTTGTTCGTCGACGAAGTCGAAACAGTCGAAACATACCCATTTTTGGTTGAGAAAGTCGAAACATATCTATGCAGGGACGAACAATCTATTTTTTTAAATGTCGGTCGAGAAAGTCGAATTATCGAAATAAATCGAAATTTGTCGAGAAAGTTGAAACATATCTGAACTGGGTCGAATAAAGTTGAATAATTTTTTCGCTGGGCCGCGAAAGTCAAAACATAGCAAAATTTGGTCGAGAAAGTCAAAACAAACTGAAATTTGGCCGAGAGAGTCTAAACATACCGAAATTTGGTCGAGATCGTCGATACATATCAATTTTTGGTCAAGAAAGACTAACATGAATCGAACACTTCGACCGGGGACTCAAATAACTTCATCTCTGGTTTACATAGCATTGATTCTTACTTTTCGATTTCTTTCTGTCTGTCGGCAATCAAACTCTCTCTATTTCTCTCGTCTCTTTTTTCCCTCTCAAGATCCACCCCTAAGCAACCTGGAACAAGCTATAAGTTACCAAAGTCAGTTGCTGTGTTTTACATTAAGGTAATAATTTTTAAAATATTGCCCTAGTCTAAAAAATTGCGCAGCTTGAGCGGTTATTTTAAACCGCATAAAGTTCTGTAGGCAAAGTTTCATCTTACTGTTAGATTTTGAATTGTAGAAATTTTTGGTCGACCAAATTGATATTGCGAGCTCTGCCAAAGCACGCGCTTTTTCGGCGCGCGCTCCCTCCTCAAAGTTAGTATATATTGGCGCCGACGGTACCTTTAGAAAAATTTAGGGTCCGTCACCAAAAATGGATATCTCAAAACAGTACAAAGGGGTCGGCAGGGGGTCGAATCCCTGAATCCTTGAGAGGAAGGGCGTCCGCCCCCCCCCCCATAAATTCGCCCATGATTTTATAAGCAAAGCTTAAAATTTTGATGCGGTTTCCACTATTTTGTTCTGGAACATTTTTCCTTGTGGTTCCTTATATCAGAAATTATGCTGAATTTAGCTCAAATATTAATGAAAATTTACCACAGTTTGAATGAAGCAGTTGCATTTTTTAATAATTGGAAAAAAAGTCAAACTATTAATGGTCAAAATTTAACGTGTTTTATTATTTGTCAAAATGTCAAAACTTTCCACTTTAAACAATGTTTTCAAAACTAACTCGTTTTCTTGCCAATTATTCATAAAGTTAGTAAAAATGTTTATTGCAAACAATCGATTTTACCAAATAAAATTTTAGCGACTTTATACTAACTTCCAGGTATTTTTTTCAAGGTTATACCCTACCAGAAAAAAAAATATCGTTTTGTCTAAGTGAGCTAGGTAATTGGAGCTCTTTTCTACAATTTTTACAGAACAATTAGAATTCCGACTAATGTTTGTCACTTTTCTTGAGGAATTGATTTGCAGTCACTTTTTTTCCTTGATAATTGTCATAAATTTCTACAAAATTTCTCAAAAAAGTAGCATCGGTGCTAGCTAAAGCAGCCAATTTTTAAAAACGGTCAAGTCATATCAATTAAAAGTATTTCGAGAATGTAGCAAAAATACAAAAAAAAAAACAAGAAAAAATCTCAAAAACAAGAAAAAATACTAATTGAAAATATTATTCGAGTTTTTTTTTACCTAAATGACCCTTGAGTTGTTTTGATATCTTGTCCCAATGCGTATGGACATCCTCGCGAGGAATGCCACACCGCATGGCATAGTAATGGAAGAATTTGTTCTTCTTCTTCTTCTTGCCCCCCTTCTTCGACTGTTCTCTCGCGATGTCGTCACGCCCGTTCCAGATCTAAAAAACATAAAAACATTATGGAAAAACATTCAAGCGCAGAGTTTTGGCAGAGTTTAGGCTTTTCTTGGACACAAAAAACTTCAAAACTTCAGTTCGAAATTTTGGACTTCGAATCAAATTTGAAGCTTCATAAAAAAAACTGATACGAGAATAATCTTTACTTTAAATCAATTTTAAAAAGTTCGGATGCTACACGTAAAACCCATATTTTCTTCAAATCATTATCAAAGAACTATCCAGAAAGATTCTCAAATATGCCTTTTTGTTTTGAAAAAAATTTTTGGAAAACGTTTCGTTAAAAAAAATATTAACCAACAAAATTTTTTTTTTGGTGTTGTTCAACAATGAAAATGGAATGACCAAAAAGGATAACAAAAGAAGGATGGAACCTTACCATAACATATTTTCAAAATATTCGTTATCATGAATATAGATGTCTCTCACTTTATGAAAAAATGAGTCCACAGAGGCATAGGTAATTGTTAAAGCTTCAAGAAGAATATCCTTATTTATTTGTAAAAATCTATTATATAAAAAAACACTATTTTCAGCCGTAATTTAGGTTCCAAAAAGACTTTCCAAACTTTTATCATCCATCTGTAAACTGAATTGAATGTTTCTCAGAAAAAAGGTAACGAAAAACTTACAGAGCAGCCGGGTGTACTTGATACGATAAGTAAATTAGTTCGACAACTTTCATCAATTTTCTAATAAGTTTTCGGAATGAAAAGTTTTGGACAGCGGAACAGAAATGTAATCTGTAATTAACCTTACCCCGTCGTGCTTTTCTGCGTGGATATTCCGTTGGTACAGGTATTTCCAGTCTTTATCGAGGAATTTGAAGTCACTCAGGTGGTAGTCCCATTCTGCATGTCTCGCGGCTTTCTCACTAACAAAAACAGATCACACAAATTTCTCTCGGAGGGTTTAAGACTAAATCCCCTACAAATTAATCCCCAAGGTCAAGTATCCATTGGATAATGTGCCCTAAGAAAAAACCTCCCATAGGTTTAAAACCCCCAAGAACAAAACTCCCTATATTTTAACTTATCATTAAGGCCTTGAAACCGTATATATTTAAGGAACTGTGAGTTGGGCTCTTTTTCTCTTTCGCCCCACCTCAAATAAGCGCCAATTTTTTGTGTAACGAAGCGTTATACAGGATTAACTATGAAGACAAAACATGTTTCTGATAGCCTAATTAACCCTCATACCAACTTTTTCATTAATCGAAATACCCGCATCCAAGTCTAGTCGTAAATAATCGATTATAACGGATTACTATGATGATTTTTTGACAATTATAATGATTATAATTACCAAAATTAGGTCTTTAAGGGATTTATAATTGATTATAATCGTGATATTTTCCAAGAGATTATTATCTCTTAAAATCGATTATAATTGATTATTGTTCTTACTAAAAACCCTTATAATCAATTATAATCGATTATAATCGATTATAATCTCTTATTTTGCCAAATTTTTCTTATATTCGAAATATATCTTATAGGTTATTGTTTTGTGTCAATAAGAAAATTTCTAAAAGAGAGATCTCTTGAACACTTTGGTTCATCTGAACACAAAGTTATACCACGAAACAAAAGTTTCATAGAGATCCTTTCATATGAGTGGAAAGGTTCTCGCGGAAGATGAAAAATAAATTTTCTGAATCAATCATGAAACTAAATTAATCTGCTGATGTTTTGGTGTTTAAAAAAGCTTAAAATATGCATCACAAAACAACTCTAATGGGGAAGAAATGAAAAAAAAAACTTAGAAATTTGAATTAATTGGAAAACTTTAAAAACATTTTTCTCATTTTTCATAGGAACCAACGTACACAAAAAGCATAAAATATAAGCAATTTAGATGCAACTTCGAAGAAAAAAATGGACAAACAAAAGGGATTATAATCAATTATAATCAATTAAAATGGATTTTTGAGCAAAAATAATAAAATAGAAATTTGAATAAAAATAATGAATTATAATCAATTATAATCGATTATAATTGTATCAAAAAATAGACGAATAAATAATCGATTATAATTAATTATAATGGATTATAATTAATTATAATTTGAACTTAAAAAGAGAGATTATAATCGATTATTAATTGGTTAAATTTGATTGTTTCTCAATTATAGTGAGACTGGTACTAAAATCGTAATATAATCGATTATTAACGCTTGAAACTGGATGCGGGTATGTGAACAATATTTTAATGGTAAAAATTTTCGGGTGGTGGGGGTCTTCCATACAAACAATGGGGGCCTTCATGTAAAAATTTTGCTTCCCATATATCGCCGTTTTGACGTGACGTTTTAGAAATTTAATAAACAACTTATCTTTGACCTTATAAAATTGTTGTCTCTACTACAAAAAGTTTCGAGCTGCGTGGCACAGTTAGTCAGTTAAACAAATTTATATTAGGTTGAGCCGTTCGGCGTAGTGCTAATCACAAATATGACGTTTTGAGCAATAATATGTGTTGAATTTAGACCCACGGGAAGAAAATCCTGCGATTCCACTTCAGTTAGTTTTTCACTGATCGTTTCTGTTTTCATCTTATTTTAAAATCCGTGGATTGAGTAACGCATTAAAAAACGCAAAGAAATTCCGAGAAGTGGTTTCTTGAGATAGTCATTAATTTGGTTATCTTAGAAAAGTAGACAACATCAAATTTAAACAAGACTGCTCGTATCAGGGCGAAGCCCTGAATGTTCCGACTGCCTTTTAAGGTTTATGGAGCAATAATAACATTTAAAAGTTCAATGAAATAAAACAAAATCAAAAAAAAATTTCTAAAATATGAAATTTTTTATGAAAATCATCCCATACAAAGTACAAAAGTACAAAGTACACACGCCATACAAAGTACAAAAGGATAGATTTTGCTCCTTGTAACAAACTAATTATGGCACATAAGCTTCTTTTAACCACTTTGGAACGATTTCTAAGGCGGATTAACTCTCCGCTTACGCGTTAATAAGCGCGAATTATATCGCGCGTTAATTGTCCCAAATTGGCCAAAATGGCAATCTTTAAACCCCCGTAACTTTACAAAAAATGATCACAGGTGAAATATCTTTTCAAATTTGAGCTCAAGACAACAATACCTTTCGAATGATGTTGAAAAATTTCGTCAAAAATGGCTAGTTAAAAAGTCGAAATTTGTCTGAAGAAAAAAAAACCCACCCCGAGCACAAATATTCCGTTACTTTCGTATCGAAAGTCGGAACAAATAGCCATAAATTTAGTTAACTTAAAAAAAACTTCAAAATAGGTTTTTCACTATTTAGGTTTAAAAGTAAAAGACTTCGTTACACGTAGAAAACATCTATAGTATCTTTTTTGAATTTTTTGTAATGATTTGGCGGTAGTGAATAGACATAAAAAAGAATCTGAATAAATGTGGCAGTGAGCAATGGGGTAAAATATAGTATAAAAACAGTAATATTTGACTACTTCGTTTATGGTAATTTTTTGTCAGACTTGAAACGAAAGTGACAAAATATTTGTGCTTCATTTCATTTTTCTCGAACGTCCAATTTCTCGTAGCAAATGATGATAATTTTAAAAGAAAATATTGATCTTTTCAGCTAAAAGTGAAAAACTTTTTGCGCCCTTGATAATTTTTTGCAGAAGTATAGTTGTTTGAAAAATCAAAAATAATCAATTTGTCGTTGTTGATGCACGCTATTATTTTTAAAATGTAGCTTCATAAAGTATATAAGTTATATTTGACATTGCGTATGGCAAGAATAATTTGAGTTTTTTTGATGAAAATTATAATTTGTTTCAAGGAAAACTAATTCAAACACTTAAGCAGAAGATCAGCCGGATCGGAACAATCAGGCTGCAACCTAATAGGATTATTTTTGTGAATATTTTTATTTGTAAGTTAGAGATTACTGTGAATCAAAGCATTTAGATGCATGGTTATTTTCCTCCATTTTCGATCAACACAACACAATTTGGTGGTGGTTTTCTAGTATTCCAGCCCGGCCAAAATAAATTAGAGAATTGTCTGAAAATTACTCATATCGCAAGCTACATATAAAGTTATGCTAAAATTTGGGCTCTCTTCCAGTTCCCCCTTCCTCTAAGATTCGCAAAAAAAAACGATCGGAGGCTACACTTTCATTTGTATCATAAACTACTCATAACAAAAGTTGATTCCAGGGAAACAGTTAGCGTTGAAAGACAATAAATTGTTAAACATCACTAGCATAATTTGACAATGATTGTCTGATTACAAAAATAGTTTGCAACTAGAAACGCAATGCTTAGCTTTTGAAAAATTAATGTCCAAGAGATATATGAGAGTTTAAAGCATAACAAGGATAGCCGGTTGCTGTGCAAGTAGCACAAAATGTTCCGGCCATATTCATAAACAAGATAGAAAAAAGCTATTTTTTCTAAAATATGTTTTCTTTCTTCATGTTAATGTTATTTTCAGTGGGTGGTGTGATTCGGGAACTATACCATTGCATAGAAAACTAGTGAATTAAGCGTTATCACTACTTTTTTTCCGAATATTTGCCAACTAAGTGCTCAATGAGGCATCCAAAACTAGTTTTATTTATAGTAAATTTAAGTAAAACAGCAAATACAAAAATACATAACATGGGTTAATCGATCGCGCTACTCGCTCGAAATTAGACTAAACCTCAAAAATTTCAAACTAGTTTTTGGCGACAAGGGGGACATTTCCTAGTGTTTTTAAAATGTCAATCGAATCATAAAGTTCTTCCCTTTTCAATTGCCGGAACAGTAAACTCCAGTTTTTGATTACTTTTTTTAGGAAGCCAAAGATGAGCAAAATATCCACAGAAAAATAGCCGACAAAATCTCAAAACCGCTTAAATACTTCAAAAACATTGGCGGTAAAAACCCCCTTCCAGGCACACGATTTCTTATTTAGTTTAGAAAAAAATTGATCTGAGAACAACTGTTAACTGGTTAGACAGCAAACTTGG